AATTGCGACCGATTTTGCAAGAAAATACAGGAATGTCAGGGTAATATTACCTACAGTTTTGGTTCAAGTCGGTCGTGTATGTCCTGAAATATGGCTTTACGCCGAAATGTAGGCTGTGCCGCGCCCCTTTGTTCAAATTAAGTTCAAGACGGACTGATGGACAGGCAGTCATGATCATTTATATAGATGTATATATAACTGTATATCTAACTCGATTAGGTTTAGGTGATACGTACAAATATTACGTCACCAAAACTATTCTTTTCTGTAGCAACATGTTGCAAGCGTATAAAACGTCGCCAATACTGCTGTCCTCAAATACCGATATAAAGAAAGACGTTTTATAATTTTTTTCTATTTTTACCACTGAAATATTTAATTTACATATATATAAAAAAATAAATGAATCAGAAAAAAAGATGAGAAAAATATGGAGTTAAAACCAAGCATTATAACGCCAAAGCGTACATGGTTCAATAGACAAGATTCAAGTTCTGCCGAATCTAATCTTTGTCTATAATAAATCAGATCATAAAGGCAATGAGATAGTCAAGAGTGTCAAGGGTGGTGCGCAGCTGTCACTAGCGCGTGGCCGACCTTGGTACCCCTGTCACTCGATAGAGAGAACCGTGGGAACATAATTGGAATACTTACTGGCTTCAATCTGATAGCGATACAAGCCTGCAGAATGGGGCTGACAGATCGACAAGACTAAAGAATGACTTCTTTTCATAGACTACATATGTAACAGTACTCTACATCGTACTGCAAGAGAACAAAACTTGCTATGCTTGACTTCTTGACTTATAAGCTTACCAGGCTAACCTAACCTTAGGTGGGATATATAAACTTAGACATTTCTTCAAATTATATGGGAAACTTACGTTTTTGTGCTTATCCTTTTTCTGGCATTGTTATGAATGTTTTAAAAAAGTTGTGTGTCACAAGTAATTTATATTATCTAAATATACACTATTTTCTTTTATAAGAAAGAAAAATAAAAATATTAATGGCGACAAGTGTAGCATTCTCAGAAATATAATGAAATAATAATAGAAGACCCAACCATATCACATATTTTGAAGTTAATGTGCGTAAAATTATGCTGGACGGCAAATTAACCGTTTCGCATTCCTTTCGTATTTTAACGCTGTCCGAAGCCAGCTTCTAAAAAAATGATTGCTTAAAAACTTGTCTTCCGCTAAAACGCTTTATTTTACATATCAGGTATGCTTCTTTGCTAAAGCAGGATTAACTCCTAAAAGTAGGAAATTCTTAGTTTTGCTCTGTTTAATACTTTTTTTAAACCTGTAATGTGAAAAATTTTTAATATATAATTTCGTGGTAACAGCTCATCTTACCTTCTCCTTTTGATCATGAGATGAGGTGTGTGTCTTCGCTAAAATCTTAACCATACCTAACTGTAGACACACCATTAAACGTTTGGACACTTTGTTGCTGTAGTTGTGATGCATTATGTTATGCACGAAATTGCTTTTAAAAAGAGTTCTAAAGAGATAAAATAATTCGAATATAATACCAAAATAATGTAATTACCATTCAAAAATGCTTGAAGATCATCAGGATTGTACTATCTAAAAACCTTAACATGGATACGTAACTGATAAAATAAAATTTAAATATCAAATCGATATTATCAATCAATAATAATATTGATATTATCAATAAATATAATCAATCAGTACAAATTAATATTCGAAGTTTAAAGTAAAGAGCCTAATATGCTGCTTTTACTCCTGTCAAGTCAATCAATATGTCCACAAAGAGGAGGATACATATTGTTCTCAACAATAGCATTTGTCCCTTCACATTTCCCCAACTAGCCGATTCATTTGCCATTGTCAACATGCTGCTGGTTAGTTTCGTGCTTTTAATGATGGCAGCCACATACACATATACATACAAATTTATACACTATGTATGTGTTTACATGAGCTTGCTGACATTGCGACTAAACTGTTTGCTACTCAMTACAGCACACACACATAGCAGCAGCAGCAACGGTAACTGCAAAACACTTTAACACAGGCGTCAATATTAACAAAAGGATTTTTTTCCTTTTTCGACGCAATACCCAACCATCAGTCATCGGTGAGCATATGTACAAATATTTACATGCAAACTAACACATATGGAGGTAGGTACATAAGCCAACAAAAGACTTGCAACATGTCAACAACAGCACTGTAATCGGCAGCTAAGCTGACATTGATGTCAAATTGACATGAATAACCAAATCCGACTTGAAGTCAAACCCCAAGCCTCCGACGCTTTAAGGGCTTTTACACAAATCCTTTGTCAATGCTGACAAGCGTCATATGTGAAATACATTGTATTCAAAAGGTTCGGTAGCGAAAAATGCATTGATGGGTTGCTGCCTGAGTACGCTTGTGTGGGTGGGAGTGTACTGTAAGTGACAAATTGAAAGATTTTCTGCTGACGCTCGTTGATTAGTTGTGTAGGCGGAGAAAACCGTTAACAGTTTAATAGAATAAAAGTGTCAAAATCAAATTGAAATGGTGACAGCGTGTAATATGAGAAGAGTCAATTAATTGGTTACACCTAGAAAACTGTAGCATAATAACATTAAAAAAAAAAAAAGGGATGAGAAATTCCAAGTCAGGGTGATGGTACTAGGTCAGTATAGTAAAACCCTCAAAGGATTTGGCGTTCGTATGTGTCAGTTTTTTTTATGACCTTTTAAATTTTTTACTTATTTCCCATGGTTTTCCATCTTAACAAATTAATTTTTTTTAATCAGGCGTACTAAATGGTTGAGATATACTAGATATAATCAAAGAGTTAATAGAAGACTTGTTGGGAAAGCATCGTTCTAACAACTACGATGTTTCTGTTGCAAGGATGTTAAGAGCATTCTCGGAAATTGTTTTTTTTTTTTTTTTTTTTTTTTTTTTT